AATCGGGATGTTGGGCGATGATGTTGGCCAAGTGCGCGGCGACGTCGCATGCCGAGTCGATCTGCTGTTGGTAGCCCTCGTTGCCGTAGTATGTCCAGCCCAAAAACAGTTTCAAGGAATCGGCACGTCGACCGCATTGGAGAGTGAGATCTGCTAGATCCCACACTTCCGGCGAGTCGACTTCCAACTCGGATACTTTGTCTGCGTCGCCGTTGGTAGCAGGCTCGTCGTCTTCGTTGTGGAATAGATACCCCGCGGGAAGGGTGTTGGCCTTGTGGAACTGGCGCATATCCGAGGCCAGCAGGTAGGAGCAGGTGACCGGAACGCCGAGCATTTTGTGCGGGTTAATACCGATGCTGTTTGCTTTCTCCGCGCCGGCTAGCTTGTGCTTCTGGTGCTTGGAGAAGATGAATGAGCCGCCCCAGGACCCATCGACGTGGAACCACATGTTGTATTTTTGGCAAATGGCTGCAATCTCGTTGAAGGGGTCGAAAGAGCCCAGGACGGTTGTACCTGCGGTGGCATTGACATAGAACGGCGTCCGGCCTTCGCTCTGCGCCTTCTGAACTAGTTTCTCAAGCTCGGCTGGGATCATGCGGCCGATCTTGTCAATGGGGACGGACCAGACGGCACTGCTACCGAACCCGAGCATCTGCGCCGCCTTTTCCACGCTGTAGTGGCCGTGCGCGCTCGTGAAGAGCACGAACTTGTACCCGCCGTTCCCGTCTGCTTTCGTGCTCGGGTAGAGGTTGTTGCGCGCAATGACAATGGAGGTGGTGTTCGAGGCGGATCCGCCTTGCACGGAAATACCTCCTGCCCGTGGACCGTTCAGCCCGAAGAGGTTCGCTAGCCGCTGGCCGGTATATTTCTCAATGACCGTCAGCGCAGGCGACACTTGGTAGACATGTACGTTGGTGTTCAAGGTAGCGAGGATGAGCTCTGCTGCCACACCGGGCGCATTGGTTGACGCATACAGCTTGTCCAAAAAGCCCTGGTGCCAGGTGTTGACCGAGTATTGCAGGACCTTTTGCAAGACCTCAATGAGACCTTCCTGCTTAGTGCCTTTCTCTGGGATCTCGAGCTGAAGGATATCCCGCAGCTCTTCGGGTTTCTTATAGTCTACAAGAGAGGTCCCAGCTAGTCCGGTGTGCCCGTTGGTGCCGTTAGTGCCATTCTTCTGTGTCAAGGATCCTCGGGGGTCCTCGTCTGCGGAGCGGATAAAGGGAATGAGAAGGTCTTCTACTGCTTTCAGAAGCTGAGCAGAGTGGTTGTATTAGTATTAGAGCATCAAATAAAGAGTACAGCGGGGTGTAGATCATTGCGATACGGAGTTGACTCACGCTTTGCACTTCATCAGCGCGGTTTGGCTGCGCAATGCCTGACATTTGTACAGATCGTGAGGTCAGAATCTATACAAAAATGCAAGCAGAGACAAGAATGAGTCTATCTATGGACAGGAGATGGAAAAGAAAAAAGGGCAGATGACGCAATTGTAAGTTCAAAAAAAAAAAAAGGTTCAGGAAATAAAAAGTCAAAGCGAAAAGACAGTGTTTTACCTCATATAGGCAAATTCCGGACTCTCAATCCATCAAGTGCCCGGGTGGTCTAGTGGTATGATTCGCGCTTAGGGTTCACCCAAAGCAATATTGCGCGAGGTCCCCGGTTCAATCCCGGGCTCGGGCCCATTCTTTTTTTTTTTGTTCTTTCTTTTTATATTGTAATATTATAGTTAGTTTGTATACATACCTCTCTAGATATGCCTAAACGAGCCATATAAAACAACCGATAAGAATGCTAGAAGCAAGTCCCATAATATAATACAATTTTAATTGTGTTCCATATCGACATTGTTATGGCCTCCTGTAAAGGTTAACAATGATATAGCATGCTCGTGTTATACTCTCGGATACAGTGTGTTAGTCAGACCATGTGGGAGAGAGTAGAGCTCGCAGAGGCTGCAGTATGTTTCACTCGGGTGATTCGATAGGGCATTAGTGTACTCCCTACGGGGATACGTTCTAGGTCATGTCTCTAACTTAGCGCAAAAGGAAGAATACCACTCTAACCTAGCAACTGCTATTATCCTATAATTCAATATACATACTAGGCACGCAAGACGGCTGACAACATATAGGGCTAACACAGTGCTTACTACCGGAAACTCACTTGGCTATGGATAGCCCACTAACTCCTCTACTAAGAGAATAGGCCGGGCTTAGAATTGGAGGAGTGTAACAGATCAAAGCTCGGATCTAATTATAACGTGATATTAGTGATCGCACTCTACAACTTGGCTGGGAGAGACAGTATATCGAAGCGTAGGCTTCAACATTCCCGGGCACCGATATGTATACTTAGATACACTCACCATATAGTACAATAAGGACTATACAGCATATATTAGAATAAGGATAAACGACCTTTCCTACGAAGTGAGACTATAGAAATCCCACCAGGTGTTAGGTGTGAGTTTGAACTTTTCATATCTAGAAAGAAACCTATATTTATAAGCTTCTTCCACCTTATAGATACTAGAGATTCCTTAGGAGATCCCACCCTTAAATGGGACCGGGAAGAACTAGAAGGAGCATTACCATCTTAGATTCTGTCTGTTGAAGCAGCTAAACGCAGTCTGAATTGGACTTCGACACCACTCGGTGCATGTTATATACAGGAAATGGTGATATTGTCTAACTATACGGAGTGTAAATGGCGCTGATCTTTTCTATAGCCCTAAGATCTATATGTATGCTTAGTATGCTTTCCTTTCCTAGGAGCAACCTCAGAAGTTAATTACTACGATTAACTAGGTCTCTTAATAATATACGGAGTACACCCGTTGTATATATATATATATATATAAAAGAAAAAGGAAGAAAGGAAGAAAAAAAAAAGAATGGGCCCGAGCCCGGGATTGAACCGGGGACCTCGCGCAATATTGCTTTGGGTGAACCCTAAGCGCGAATCATACCACTAGACCACCCGGGCACTTGATATGAAAAGATTCATGTTTTGACTATATGAGAGAAGAAGACTTCATCAACTAACTTTTTTTTACTCTTTCGATTATGCTGACAATCGCGCTAAGGGCCTTGTCCCTCCTATCAACAGAAGGGTACCTCCGACGCTGCCATTCAAGTCTCCTGCTCTATGTCTAGGCATTGCCAAGGCTGCCGTAATATCCCCAGCCGCAAATACTTACCTATCTCTGTATTGCATGATCCCGCCATCTAATGGCCCAGATATATAACCTACTTTAAGGAGTATACCAGAACACTAAAAGCCGTACAATAGTCCTCTAATATACCGCCCCCCAAACCAGTAAACACTCAAACCAACACTAGTAGAATACGAATAACACCCCCGCTCCGCTAAACACTAGAAGGGGATTCGGCTACGCCGGCACAAGTCTCGACCTCACCTACCCCAGAGATATAAGAAGAGCGGGACGACGTTGAGGATAAGCCTATGCGACTCTAGATATGTATTAGAGCCACGCCATTCAAATGTCGACGCAATACTAGAGGGTATACAAAGCTTATTTCTGGTCTCGTCAAATACCACGGTCACCCACTACGGTGGCACTGCAACGGATCCACCAAGTAGAGGCCAAGGCTATAATAAACGAAGCGAAGGTGGCGCAACCGTAAGAGTATTTTATTAACAGTCGAGCACAAGAAGCTAAGTTCCAGACAGCGGAAGGAACTAGCAATAAAGGGATGGGAACCCGTTCGGCAAGGCTTTACTATGGTGCGTATCACGGAATGTTTAGGGTAGCATGCATCCGACTTGTTGAGTGTGAGGCAATAGACTGAACCCCATATCACAGACCATAATTGCGATGGGAGAAGCCAGCCATATAGGTCAGTCGATGGCCTCGTCCAACTGATTTATACTAAGGTTTACCAGAGACATCTCAAAACCCGCAGCCACTAGTACCTCTATCACCAAGCTAGAAGGCAATATGTCCCCCGCTTGAATTACACATAATTGTATGGATCCATTCCGTTCTATGCTTTCGCGCATGTCCACAACTTTGATGCCGGCCACTCTCACCTCGTATACCGGGTAGATCAGCAAGACGCGGCGCATCACAGTGTAAACTACCTTACGACGCGCGCGACTACATTGCGCAAATTCACCTTAAAGGTGGTACTCATCAAGCTTTTTAAAAGATCGGATATCAACCAGATCCGCTTTTTCGCTCCCGGCAATCGAACCAGCCACGGCCGTCTAGATCTCCAGCCCGGTGACCAGACTTTGTACGGTTCGAACAAGGGAAGACCGGCAGAACCGGGGAATTCACGTGTGGACTTCTACTTCTCGTTATATCTTTTTCCCGTCAGGGCAATTAAAGTCGAGTCGTTGTTGCCGTGAATACAAAACTCATTTATTGAATACGCATCATGCTTTGGTTCGACATAGAGTAGTCGTCCAAACTCGGTTATATTTTAGTCGGATGCTTATAGGATACGGAAGCTCCCAAACGGATTTATTACCTATACTCCCTACAATACCCATATATGTTGCCTAGCAGGGATTGAGATTAAACATTTAGGGAAGATACAGACTAAGTAATTGTTGTATCGAGAAGTGGCCGTGCATATTATACGGCTTAAGTACGGCTGAGCGGATGGGAAGCCCTGTTTTCATGCCCTATGGTCGTGTATGTTGGATCATCCCCAGGATGCTCTGTTTGCCAGGCGGACTGAGCTTGGTTGTTTTCTTCCAAGGTTGTTTACTCTCCAGGCCCTCTGTAAAAGGATTTTCCTAGATAGACTGAACGCAGCAGGTTTTCCTTTTCGATTCTCCCCAGCAGCTGAATAGTTACTCCTCTTCCTTCCTCTCCTTCTATTCCCCAGGAAACTCGTATTGTCTACCTTCTCTTCCCCTTGACTGGCCTATAACCCATACGCATAGTCCCAAAGAGATTTTGAGGTAACCTTCAGAGTCGCCCGAGGATAATTTCTCTCACAGATACGACACCGTCCGTCATAAAAATGTTTATTTGGCAGGACCCTAAACCTTGCACTAACTGTGGGATGATGCAAGAGGGCCACACGCGGAAAAACTGCCCGCATATCGAATGCTATCGCTTCCACGAGCACGGCCATATGGACTATGACTGCCCGAACAGCGAGTGCAGCTACTGCCGCAGAATAGGGCATTGCAAATCCAAGTGCCCCAAGCTCGAGCGTAAGAGTCGTGCAGGACAAGGTCACAGAACAAACGAATCCCACCCCACGCTGGAAAGCACTCAGACAGGAGTCACCCGCATATCTCCTTCCCTGTCTGCAGATTTAGGTTCGTCTATGTCACCTTCACGGCGCGTGGAGGCTTCCCAAAACGCAGTTGACACCCAGTCTACGCGTCCTTCACAGACTACCCAGGTAACTACCACGGTCAGCTCTGAGGTGTCCCACAAGAGGCCTGTCTACTAACTCAGAATCAGGATTCTTGAAAACTAGTCCCAAGTGTTGTTTTCCCGAACCTTCACAACACGATTTGCCAGTTGGCTTCGGGTCTTGCAACTGACCCCAATAGCTACCTGCAACGGCTCCCATATCATTCCGTGATTACAGGCCATGGATGTCTACAGAAGATAGCCCAGATGTTGCTAAAGTGGGTTGACCCCCATATTAGGACACTTGAGGGTAGACTGCTTAAGACAGAGAAGTATGTTAGACCCCCAGTTCGGACAGTATGGTTTTTGACATGTTCAAAGCATTCTCAGTGTCCAGACATGTCAGGATAATCGTTGGAGCCCAAATGGAGGCTACGTGGACATCGTCACAGACTCAAGAAACAGCGAATAATATTTAACCCAAGATTGGAGTACGGCTTCCCGTCCTCCCTTGGCCCAAAATAAGCCCCCCAAAGTGCTCCCTGGAAGTGATTGGAAAGCGCGACACATCGTCATTTCTAGGACATTGAGGGCCACGGCTCGAGAGGTGCATGATAGTTGAGTATCGTTTGGTGCTTCCCAGAGCTTGAGCCAGTTTGCTGCTCGATACGCTTGTCCCTGTGCAATGACATAATAATGCAGTGTGCTCTTAGATCCGCGCAGAATTGCCCGATTGTGGATTTTGATACGACCTGGTGGGTATTTAGACTGACCAGGATAGGCACGCCAGTATTCCTCCTGTTCTCCAAGGGCTCTCCCTTGGGCCTTTCGGCACGAAAGTCCTTCTCCATTTGCTTGGAAAAACCCCCAGACCCGGACATTCTTGGATGGCCCCAATTCCGTTACGAGTACGGGAAAAGGGCCGAGAAGTCCAACATCAACTTTCAGCGCCCGCTCATGCGATCCCCGGAGTTTCATGCCCGTTTTCATGACGCAATCCAGCATCTCCAGCTAAGCCAGTCCTTCTGTGGTAGTGAGCCCCTATCACACTCAGCTTTAAACAAATCCGGGCTTTTGAGCCAGTTAGAAGAAGATCTGAAGCCAATATGCCTTCCCTGGGCCCCGCCTAATGGGAATTTTGAAGCGCTCGTAGGCTTCGTACTGGAAGATATCCTTGATGCAGAATCAGAACACTCGAGCAACACAAAGATATCCATTCCGTGCCAATTCCAGGATAGCGGATGGCACACGATGAACTCTCACTTGGGCTGCAAACCCTATTCAAAGAGATTTGACCGAAATGGCGCAGTCCTTCCGGTCGACCCAGGAGAATGAGACTAAGTCATTTATTAGGTTCAACCAATCAATTATATAACATAGTGGATTACGGTTGTTCTTATGTGTGGAAGTGCAGTACAGGAACTTGTTCAACCCAAAGAGTGCGTGGAAACTCGCCTTAAGCTAGAAGATGGGGAGGTTCCTATGTTTCTTGATATCGAAAATGAAGCTATCGAACGGGTCTATGTTCTCATACCTAATCCAGTTGACGCATTCCTCCTCCGGGAATGGCGAAAAACTCACAGGATATCCGAGGTGCTTCATTTTATCTCGGCTATCACTATGACCATTGGTATTCGCCCCTACGCTGGAGATAATGGATGTGTCTTGACGAAGGTCATCCGAGATTACATGGATGAACGGAATGGAATCCAGGAACTTTGGACTCTCAAAACCCTTCATCCAATGACCCGCCTGTGGCTTACACGTCGAGGATTTGCGAAAGACGAAGACATCGCCCTTCTGCAAGAAAAGGGAGGCGGGAGTCTTAGCAACACAATTCTCGTCTTGCTACATGTGACACCACGTCGTTTTCGAGACGCACCCACGACATCCTCTATGAGCTCATTCCGCAGATCAGAGAAACACCATGACCCAGAGTTTAAGATTAATAAAGCGCAGCTTGAAAAATCTGTTCGAGATCTCTGTAGCCAATTGAGTGAGAAGCTACCGGTTGATTTTGAAAGTCCTAGCGATAATCTGATTCAGGATGTCAAATCCAGGGTGGAAGAACTGGAAGATGATGTTGGGGAGGCCAACGTTCTCGAAAGAGAAGACCTGGAGACTTCTCGACTTTGTGTTGACGACCACGGGACCTTTAAATTTGCCACTGAGATCTCAGCCACTCCATGGGAAAGGGAAAATCCCCGTGCTCGTGCTGGTGACCGAAGCTTCACCGCTGGAGACAAAACTCGACAAGAACTCCTACAAGGCCGCAGATATCTCGGGACTCGGATGAAAATGCAGGGAATGTTTGTTGTAACAATACATTCATGCATTGAGCTGTTTCTTCGTGTTGAGGAGCCTCTACAGGAAGTTATTGTTAGAGCCGAGATTAAGCCACCCGGTCAGCGACATCCACACGTATGGGCGCAAGAAACGCTCGCGACGGATCCTGGGTCACTGTTGGCTTTTTGCGTTATGTACACAAGGGAGGCCGTGGAAACATCATCCTATGTGACTTCAAATGTGGTCAGAGATCTCTATAAGGCCAACTCATTCGTTCACTGGATGGAGGGGGAAAACGTTGCAGACATTATTGCAAGGCCAAGGCAGTTTGTTACTGTGAGCTCATTGACCCAGACCCTTCCTCGTGGTATCCCACAGCCCGGCTCTTTCTACACGGACGACAGCATTACCTTGATCCCTGCCAAAGAGTTCAACCCGGGTAAAAAGCGCAAAATGTCGGGAGCTTGATATGTAAGGCCACTGATGGGTGTCAGGACCAGATGGCTAGATAGTTCTCTCTGTCTTCCTTTCCCTCTTCTCTTTTCTTCCTCTCCATAGGCTTCGCTTGGAATGTAACATAGTCTTTCGTCATTCCTCCTGGTGTAGCCTTCCATCAAAATAGCTGTTCATCCTTCTTAAGGGCGATGCGCGCGACGTGACACGACCCGTAACTCGGTCAAGGGTTGGCTCTAAGGGTTAGGCTCGTTAGACGTTCGGAGTACCTCTTATGGCAGAATGTTGTTAAGTTGGATTTGATCTATCTACTGAGGTCAAAATACCAGTTGAATATTAGTGGATCTCCTTAAAACGCCACTGTTGAATTTTCTCAAAGAAATATCATATACTCGGGGTGCGTATAAATTAACACACCATGAAGCTAATACTGTCCACAAGAAAGGTGGGCGGCCGGATTTTCTTGTACATATGAAGAGAGAAGTGACAACGAGGTGTTATAAAAGTGTTGACCAGTCTAAGAGCATGTTAATCCATCCTATTTATGCTTAGGTATTGAAGTTAGAAGTTAGTTAGGGTTCTGTAGGTCATTCGCGTTCTACGACAGGGAATAATAAGTGAACAGAGAAACCTTGGAACTTCCTCCTGTACATATCCAAGGTTTAGTCACATTTATTCATAAGGCTCCCGGGATATCCTATTTTAACAGCTAGTAGCTTGAAAACCTAGCAGCATGCAATCTCTCTAGATAATGCACCGCTCTAAGGTCCACTCGCAGGTCCTGTAGAAGTCGAAGTTACAAGCGGTATTAAGAAGAAAGAATAATAGGGTGCACGTAGACATAGACTCAAGAACTTTGGTAGGGTATTGTTGGCAAATTCCGGACTTTCAATCTATCAACTGCCCGGGTGGTCTAGTGGTATGATTCGCGCTTAGGGTTCACCCAAAGCAATATTGCGCGAGGTCCCCGGTTCAATCCCGGGCTCGGGCCCTTTCTTTTTTCATATATTATATATATTTTCCCTCTCTTTCTACTAACTAATAGTCGACCTTGTGTGGCTTTAGTATTTTTTTAACAGTCACATCTCACTGAAAATCCAAGGGTCTTCGGAAATTCTTCTAGAATACAAAGGTTTACAAAATTTTATATCCCGTATTTCAAACCGGCAGAATTTCATCTAGAAAGGCGGCAAGCAAGATACAGCTAATAGAATTGTAAAGGTCATGTGGGCGGTAAGCCTTTAAACTCAAATCTGTTAAGCCTACCTAGGTAATATTAGGTAGGCTTGGCGCTCTTAACTACGTTGTATATTGGAATCCTAATTATCCAGACTCCTTGCATATATCAGTATGCGGACAGGAATATTAAGATTCGGGCTGATCTGCAGGAACCCGAATGCCCCCATGGGATTGTTGCGGTGAACCATATAGAATCTCTCCGATATGTCTTAAAATATGGTTGATTCATAAGAAAGCCATGGAAATAGATATCAAGCAATGAAACAATTGATGCATCAACGCCTTTTTGTATGAGTACATGTGCATTTCGTCTAATACATAATTTTATCACCGTATTTCTTCACCTGCTAGCTACCGTAGTCTGGTTCGCACCAGTAGCACCGGCATCAGCTGCTTCCTTGGCCGCCGCGTAACGGGCCCGAGCCTGTTCAATTTTAGACTTGGGACGTTCGGCGCCTTCATTACCCTCGGCTCGCTCCTCAAAGCCCTTGGCCTTGTGAGTCCAATCGCGTCGGCGGCGCTTGAAGAGATCCATTGACCAGTTTCGCCAGACTGCGCGACCCACAAAGGAATCGCGGAGCTCCTGTTCATGTCGCTCGAGTTCCTGTGCCATCCGCTCCTTGACAAAGAAGATATCCTTGGTCGCTGACCAAAGCGCATCCACTACGTGTGAACCGCTGCTGCTCAGGGCAAGAGGTGTGAGATGGCCTTGGAAACGGGTGGTGAGCTGTCGCCGGATTTGAGGTGTGGATGTTGTGGAAGTCAGAGCCTGTTGAAGAACGCGGGAAGAGGTGGGTTCTTGGGCAAGTTGTACGATCGTTTCGGATGATTGGGCGAGGAGACTCGTGTAGACAAGTTGGCTCATCGGGCCAGGAACGGTCAGCATGGCCTGTACCAGCAGAGATGCATGTAGTTTCTCTGCTTTCTCCGCCGCAGATACCGGGGGTGGGCCCCGTGGCTTGCGCTCCTTTCCGTCGTTGTCCTCTTCCATACCATGGTCTTCAGATTGCGGGGCTGTGTTCTCCGAGATGTTGAATTTCAGCATCTGCTGCAGTCTGACAGCAGGATCCTTGCTATAAGCGCCCTCGAGTGCTTCGGCAAGAGGCTTTGTGTCGACGTCACGGACCATGCACCGCTCGATCAACATTTTGGGGACAATGAGTCTCGACCGTTCAATAAGGCCCGGAACTTCGGGAATAATGTTGGTCATGGCAATCTTCAAGTCATCCTTGCCGAGTCTTTCCAGCATCCGAAGAACCACATATCCAGCAGTGCTATTGCGAGAGAGGGAACCAATTCGGCCACCCAGGTTGTTCCTGTAAAGGTTTTTGAACGATTTACCAGGAAGGTATCGCACCATTGTTTCTAACAGGCGAGAACCAACTGGGTCGTATAGGAGACCACTAATGAAAACCGCACTTTCGGATCCTTCCTCGAACGACTCATCAGGAACCAGTCTTCGGATGGTCGACTTGGGGTCTTTGGCGCTAGACTTTCCAAAATGAGAAAGCTCTAGGAACAACAGTACCTGAAGCACGGGATTTCCAACCGGGTGCGTAGCCAGGGCTCGGAGATAAACATCGTCGAGGCCGGCAACCATATCGGTCATGATCTTCTTGAGTGCCGGTTCAAATGTCTCCGGAACAGTGTGTTTCTCAGCTTTAGATTTGCCCGCTTTCTCCTCGCCCTGAATAGTCGGGATCTCAATTCTTTCCTTCTTGCGACTTGCGACAAACGACTCGTTTGACGTGACATCCACCGGCTCGCCAGCAAGAACCAACAGTAGCACTCGGATTGTATGCGAGGCAAACCGCTCTGTCAACAGGTATCCCCAATTTTCCTTCAATTCCTCAATAACAGCCATGAACATTTCCGCGAGCGACAGCTCGGGCTCTTCCTCTCCTTCTTCGTCCGACTTTTTGGGCTGAGATTTCGTCTTCTGCATCACGGCAGGCGCAGCGTGGATGAAAAGTGTCTCACAACAGTGGCTAGCGAACCGATGCTGCACTAGGTGGAGGAAGTGGCCGATAAATTTGCTGAATATCCGGCGCAGTTGTCGAGCGTCTGACATTGAGATCAATTTCTCCATGAGTCTCGAACAGCCCTGACTGCAGGCGATCTTCAATTCCTTGCCATTGGCTTCCGAGTACACACTGTCGACAAACAAGCTGCGCTCCTCGGCGTCCTGGAACTGGTTTAGCTCCAGCATTTCGTTGGCGCGCTGGAAGTATTCTGACTCCTCCTCATCTAGAAGACCGTAGAAAGGCATGTCTCCATCCAAATCAGGTTGCTCGCCTTCCTGCTGCTCGCCCTGTCCAAGAGGAATGTAGTCCTCATTTTCGGGAAGCTGGATGCTGTCATTGGCCTCATTGGTCTCGTCGTCGTCGGCAGAGGGCTTTATCCGCTTCGCGACGGGGTCTTCGGAGGTCTCCTCGAATTTTCTCTTGGAATCTTCTTTCTGGGCTTTCTTCTCGGCCCTGCGGCCTCTTTTCTGTTGTTCACGAGGCATTATGGCGGTGTGTCGTGAGGAAAGATGGGCTTGGAGCGCTGGAAATTTTTTGGATAAGCGGTGGTCCAAGCGCCTCCGCGGTGATAAGAGTTTGGTCTGTTTGCAATCGCGGTCATTCTACAAGGCCAAAACAACAGGCTGAGTATTAAAAAGAGCGAATTATAATTGAATTTCGTATGGCATCGCTATTATACAGTTTTCCTTTTTATCCTTTAGACTGCAGAATAAATGGCAGAGACATGGCGCCCACATTCAACACGCTGCTCCATGCTCACATTGCGATTCCCGACCTTGCCCTTGTGGCGAGGCATGATCTGTAAGCGCGCCTCGGCCTGGGTTTTGTTTTCGGGGGGTGCGTTGATGTAGGTTGGCTTGGCCTGGTTGCTTCGCTTTCCTGTTCCCAGTTGCAAATGCTCGTTGCCTCCCCACCAGAGTACATCATAGCCCCAGTCTTTGGATTGATCCAAAGAGTCCTTGGTAGTCTTGCTGACATTGGTCTTGTTGTCCAAGATCGCAGAGACATGTGTCGTGCCGACAGACATGGCCCGAATGCGAATAGGGGTCATTTGGTTTGTTTTCTCGTCATACTCGCTCATACCGCTTAAAGCTTTCACCTTGGTGGGCGAATCCTGCAGGTGAACCCATCTGCCATTGCCGAGAGTACCCCAGATTCCCCTGCCGCATGCCCATGTGTCTGCAGTTACATTCCCGAGATCATGAACATTGGCAGCCTCTTCTTCGTACCCCAGAATGCGCTTGGCATCGACGGAGAAGAAGGTGTTGGCGCCACCAGCAGCAATGCTAGTAACCTTTGGCAGGTAGAGGTTCCTTCTATAGAGTTTTTGAACCTTCATCTGGAAAGGAGCATCCTTGAAAGGCCTCTGGGGTTCAAAATCCACGCCCAATTGACCAAATGAGTTGTCACCAAAGCCAAACATACGGCCATCTTTGCTTAGCGCCAGTGAGTGGTAGTCACCACAGGCAATCTGAACAATTTTGGAGTCTTTGAGAGCTGTAACTTCGTGGCAGGTATCTGCTGGCCCCTTGGGTCTGGTGGACCAGGTAAGTCCCTCCACACCGAGTTGACCAAGCGAAGGGTAATTTTCGGTGGATGACGCCGCAGAGAATACTCGACCAGAGCTTGTGAGGAGCAGCACATGCTCCTGTCCTCCACTGATTGCAGTGACCTTTTCGCCAAGCTTCAAAGATGGGTTCAGTACACGGTAGCTCATATTAGACTGGTTGGGCCAGAAAGGAACCCAAGAGCTTTCCGTTGTCTTCGGGCCGGTGCTTTGCTCGTCCTTGGATGTTGGTAGCGAGTATACAGTCCCATCCGAGGATAGCGCAATGATTCGGCTTTCAGACAGAGCAAGTGAAATAAGATTCTTGCCGGTCAGAGTTGCCGTGGGTTTGAAATCCGACTCTGAGAACGCCTTGCCCCATTGTACTAGATCTCCCTTCTCGGTGATTGCGGCACCGGACTTTTCCTCGATCTTGAGATCTCTCAGCACCTGGCCATCAAAGTATTTGAAGCGCCGAGGAGTCTTGATGTCAGTATCTTTAGATCCTGGATCCACCACACGATAAACATTCGAACCCCATGTGTAGACGGCGGGACTTTTCAGGCTTCGTTTTTCTTGAATGAACTGAGCTTGGAGATCGTTGACATCAACGGGCTCTTTCTTCGTAACCTCCGGGCGACTCATCAGAGCCTCCTTTCCACCATCAGCCATGTATGAGTACCCCATAAAAACTGCAGTTCCTGTCACAGCAAATCCGAGGGAATTGCGGATCCAGTGTGATGACGAGTTTGGCTTTTGGGATCGACTGCTAGCAAATCGGGACCATGGCGTATTCAGTGACTGAGCCGTCGAGCTTCTGAGTGGACGAAAAGCGAGGACTGAGTGCGTCGCGGGCCGTCGCATTTGGGTTGACAACATTGTAGACGATGGCTGGACCACCAGCTAGAGCATATCGAAGCTACAAAGGTGAAATTATATCCGGGGAAGCTCTCAATGCCGCGCCTGTGATTTGTTGCGGCATCCAGGCGGGAGCTCTCGGCAGAATCCATCTCGGAGTTGACCACATCGCAGTTCGGCTTCAACATGAAACTTGGCCTGAATTTCACTCTGGATAAAGCCAGCAGAGAGACATGAGCTGCGGGCTAACTCCCATTACACTCCCTGGGACTTGACCGCACCATGCCTTCCACAAAGCAGCAGCGTGCCCGCCGCCAAACCGCTCCGTCTGGCCCGCCGCGCAAACCCACCGCCAAAGAAACCCAATCAAGCCTCCAAGCATTGGACGAGAAGACGCCCAGCGATTTAGAGTGGAAAACACCAGGATGGAGCAACGAACTCGAGTTTTCGCACTGGCTTAATGGTGTTAAGGGTGACCTGATTGAGGAGAGCTATGACGAGTACCAGTACGATCGACATTGGACGGTTATCGGAGGTGTACTAATTTACCTTTTTGTAGGAATTGCTTGGATGAACTTGAGCAATCGAAAGAGCACATTGACGAAATCTTAACGAACACCTTGACCCTCCTGGATGACCTATCCAGCTTGTCCGAATCATTCAAATCGGTCGAGACGCAAACAGCAAATTTCGAGAAACAATGTCAAGGGCTTTTGTCTGCCCAGGAACGGGACACAAAACTTGCGAATGGCATCCACAATAACCTCCACTATTACGATTTCTTAGACCCCGCATCGCGGCGGCTGAATGCCCCCGGCGCCGGGAATACAGTTCGCGACAAAGAATTCTCAGATATGTTGAGGCGTCTGGACGTGTGCTTGGATTACATGGAAACACATGTGAGTAAGCAAGACCTGGATATTTATGCGCCTGTCGCTAACTTCTCCCTAGCCGGAACAAAAAGAGGCAGAGGTCTATCGCTCGAGATACCGGCTACTGCTAACGCGTGCCTTGACGCTTATCCGCGGCAACTTTGTATCTTCACTTAAGGATATTTACCAGAGCGTCTCCAAAAAGATTTCGGATCAGCAATTGAATGACACAGCATTGTCGGCTCTCCTGTACGCCAAATTCCGGGTTGGAGCACCTGAGCTGAAGCAGATTGGAGTCGAGATCCAAAAGAGAGCCGTGCCGCCGCTCAACCCAGATCAAAATAACGAAGCTGAATATCAAAGTCTGATGAACGAGCTGCACAGCAATTACTCGGCTACTCGTGCAAAGCTGATTATGCCGCTCGCTCGCAAAAAGCTCGGCGAAATCACACAGACGCCTAGTTCGTCCAAGGACCTAGTTGCCTTTGCTCGAGCTAGCATCAGTTATATCCGTGGTCTGTGTCTAGACGAATATGATCTATGGGGGGAATGGTTCCACGGACAAGGAGGTTTGTATGACTTCCTTGAGACGCTATGCGAACCACTTTATGATCACCTTCGTCCACGAATTATCCACGAGTCCGATATCGTCATGCTATGTCAACTGTGTAATCTACTACAGACTCGCTACTTCTCAGACCCAGAAGAAGAACCTGAACAAGTCGAGGCGAACCATCTTGACTTTTCTGTTTTGATCCAGCCCGCTTTGCAAGATGTCCAGGCCCGACTTGTTTTCCGTGCTCTGGCTGTTCTGCGCGACGAAATCGAACGATACAAACCTCGCCCAGAGGACACTGATTACCCAATGCGCAACCGGCATGTATCTTTGACTGTGTCAGATACTCAGATCTCGGGCAAGAAAGACACATCCGCCGATACACTAATCGACATGACGGCCAAGCAAGGCGACGAGGCAGGCGAATCTACACAAGAGCGAGACGGTAAATGGGACTTTGAGACCCAGACCGCCCTAAAGGGCTGGTATCCAACCCTGCGAAAAGCAATCTGGCTCCTGAGTCGGATATATCGCCTAGTGAATGTAAGATGCTTCCCCGAAACAACACAACCCTAATCACTCAGCCTACTGATCAAACCCAGTCCACCGTCTTCGACGACCTAGCCCACCAAATCGTGCACCAAACAACCCTTTCTCTCCAAAACGCCAGCACCCTAATCTCCGCCAAAGCCACACCAGCCGACAGCCAACTCTTCCTAATGAGCCATCTCCTAATCCTAAAGCAACAAATCGTCGCGTTCGACATCGAATACGTCTCCGCCGATATCTCCTTCGACTTCTCCGGCATGACAAGTACCTTCTGGGAGCTGCGCGAGCGCGGCGGTCTCTTCAACCCGCGCAACCTGATGCGCCTCGTCGGCCACGGCCTCATCCCGCGCGTCGTGGAGAACATGCTCGACGCGAAAGTCGAGCTGGATGGTCGCCTTCGTACAGTCATCAACGACTTCATCAATGCTTTTGCTGCTCGCATGACCGCCTCGCTGCCGGCTCAATTCGTTGATGCCCGCAATCTGGCCCGCGGCGAACTTATCCTTCCTTCTTGCCGCACTATCGAGAAGGAGGTCCCGATTCTGCGTAAGGTCTTGAATGAGTATATTGATGACACGCGTATGAAAGAGACGCTTGTTGGGGCGGTCCAGGACCGTACTATTCAGATCTACGAGGATTTCTTTGAGAAATATACTTCCTCCGAGAAGGCCAAAGGCAATTCTGTTAGTAAGAAAGGGAAGGGTCGGGATGATGCTGTCTGGGATGTTAATACCTTTGCCGAATGGTGCGAGGGCGTGTTCCGTGTCGGCGTCGCTGGGTTGCAGGCTGATATCCCTGAAGACGACGATGATCTTTTAAGCACCAGCTCTTAGGATTTGGATTCGTTCCTTGTGACCCTTTTTTTGAACATCCGCTTTTTGAGCATAGATACCATGTTGAATTGAGCAATTTTGTACATGCATAGGCCGAGTAATTGTATAAATTCTTGCTGTTCGAAAGTGTATCACATTCAGACTTTAAAGAGGGAACAATCCATTTCCCCGGTAAATGTTATTATTCACAAACGTGAAAAGATGTATGTACAGCTGACCAGACGACAGATCTCGCTTCAAGCATGTTAAAAAAAAGGGTATGTACGGTCGATAGGAGAAAGTGAAAAGTTGTTAAGTCACTCCGAACGCAGTCAAACAAGAAAAATAAACCAATGAAACTCAAAGAACATCGCGAATCTTGGCGTACAATTCCGTATCTAGGAAGTTGTAGTTCGCATCGGACTCGCAGAAGGGATGGCGGGTGAGCAGGGTCCCAGCAGTAGGACGTTCAGCCGAGTCACTGGGAAGATGTTAGTAAAAGACGACCCCAAAGACCCAAGAACTGATAAAGCGATCCAGGACCAAAACCACGTGGAAACTTACATTGTGAAGCAATCATACATGAATGCAAGTGCCGCGGGACTGATGTTCATAGAAACATCATCCGGAATCGGCGGAGCCTGGCTCAGACTGCCGAGTTTGAAGATAGCGCCGATGGCCTCCTCCTTGCTCCATGGTCGACGGCCGGCGAACATCTCCAGCACCACACAGCCAAGAGACCATATGTCGACCTTGGCGCTGTAGCCCTGGCCCTGGGACTGGATGACCTCGGGGGCCATCCAGAAGACGGAGCCTTGCATGGAGTTGGATGAGTCGTTACCGTAGATGTCGTCCGTCTTCTTGGAGATACCAAAGTCGGAGATCTTGCACGTGCCATCGAGGTCCAGGAGGATGTTGTCTGCTTTCAGGTCGCGGTGGAGGATTCCCTTATCGTGCAGATACGCCAGTCCGCCCAGGGTTTGCCGCGTTAGTGATCTCACGACACTTTCTTCGAATTTGCCATGCTTGCGCAGACAGCTTCCGACAGATCCACCGGAGATATACTCCAGATAGATGGAGATAGAGAATTCGCCACGCTCGCATCCAAGATATTGCACGATGTTGGGGTGTTCGAGGTGCTGCATTGTGTCGATCTCCTGGTCCAGGGCGGCGACCATCTCCTTGACGCGGTCTTTGTCTGCCCCTGCAATTCGCGGGTTGATCTCGACTAGTTTGACTGCCAAAACTTCACCATTGTCCGCGTTCATGCCTAGGTATACGCGACCATAAGTACCCTTGCCGATGAGCTGACCACGGATGATGCGGAAAGTGGGTTGTCGCTGAGGAACAGGCCCGGTATTGGACGCCGGTTGGGTGCTGTTCTGCGGGATCGGATCGAGTTGGCTAAGCCGAGTGCCCGGCCTGGGCCTGATTTGCATGATCTTGGCGCCGAACATCTTGGTACTCTTTCGGCGCAAAAGATCACCCGACCTTTGGGGACCAGCCGCGCTAACGCTGTTCGTCCGGTTTGCTCCCTGGGCCACTTGTCGAATAGATTTCATGCGAGAGAGTCCACCCCCACCGGCGCCACCACGAGCAAGTTTCTGTCGTGCAAAGTTGGCAGGTTCAGGTGGTCTCACCGGAGCTGTTTCAGGTGCATGGGTTGCATGCGGCGTAGGTGGCGGGGCTTCCTTTTTGTCTTTGAGGCTTGCGTCATGTTCGTTGATAGCCTTGCTATTGGGCGATGAGGGCTCATCCAGGTAAGGAGCGTCAAGATCAACGTCGGGGAAGAAGTCATCGAGGTGGTCGATAACGCCTTCGACAGCGGGTCTGCTTGCCCAGATATCCCGGGCGAATGACTCTCGCCGTGGTAGAGGCCTCTCATCTTCGGGCGAGACTGGTCCCCAGGTACTAGAAACCGGTTCCTTCCCATCAGATGCCTCTCCGCTGGAACTGGGACCGGCAGTGCTCGGAGATTTGAACCGGACAGACAATTTTGACCTTAATTCATCTTTTGTGTTCACAGTCAGCGATGGCCTCTCCGACTTCTTTTCGGCCTCAGCTTGCGCTTCTCTCTGTTCTTCCTGGCCCCTTGAAGGTCGGACCTGGAATAGGCCATCGTCCGAGTCATCCGAGTCATCATCTGAGTCCTGCTGCTGTTGAGGGGTTCGCTGGAAGGAAACTTGATTCTCTTCAAAGTCGAACTCTGGACCGAACGACTTGCGAGATTGC